TGAATTATCTGTTTATTATATACATTTTGCTCTTCTGGCATTTCAATTTGAAAGACTTTCCCTTGAATTTTGTATTTTGACAGAATTTAGAAAAAAACGTGTTCCAGCAAGACACCAATGAAAAAACCGGAGCATTACTTCACAGTCAAACATATTTTTTTCACAGTGAAAATATGGAAAATGAAAGACACATTTTATTTCATCAATATTAAGAGGATATTTTTTCGTTTAAGTGTAATATGGAATATATTTTCACGAAACATGATAAAATGCCACATATTTTCACGAACCGGGACGGCGAGTGAAAATATGTGGCATTTTATCATGTTTAGTAAAAATATATACCATATTTCATGAAAACGAAAAAATAACCTTTTTATTTAATTTCATTATCAAAGAAAAATGGTTACGCACCCCCTTGCTTGCTACACAACTGCAATTGTACAGCGCGCAGTAATATAATTATTGTTTTGTTTTGCACGCGATATTTAGCGCTAAATTGTGACGTCACATAAACAACTCTTAAAAACGTCTGTACAGTGTTACTGAATTAAAGATATTGGTGTTCGGATTAATTTTCTTAGTTAGACCATTTTCTATCATTCTAGATAGTTTTCAACACGAAATTCAACAAAAAGTTGTTTTGTATTTATCAGATTTATCAAACAAAATGGCGAAAGAAGTCCCTTATACTAAATAGGAGTTTTGACTCCGCCAACTTTCATATTTATATTTCATATTTATTTTTAAAAACTATGAAATATATTTGACTGATATAGCACCATATTTCATGGGTAAAATTACATAATTCTCAATATTCTCAAGTATATAATAAAATTTTATACAACTCGTTCACTAAATTCAGTATTAAACTTACACTTATTCAATTTGATGTTTACAATACGAAGAATGCTGTCACAACACGTCACCTTAGTGAATTAAGAGGTTAACTGTCTTTTTATATCAATTGGAGTTAATCCGTTTCAGCACTAAGGTGATGATACGTTGTGTCAAGTGTTTGAACCTTTTTTTAGAGAATATGTAATCCTATTTTTTTAGAAAGTTTCAAACACTATTGTTGATTGAGGAACTTTGCAATAACTTTTATACAGACAAGTATCCTACTAATTACAGACATCTTAACATAGCTTAAAACAGTACGTTATAGAAAAGTTAAACGTAAATACAAAATAAGAAAAAAGTGAAATTTGTTTTACCTGGAATATCTAATCGTATATCTTGGCATGTTTTACAGCAAGTTTCTAAGTTACCAGTATTTCGACACAGTTGTAATGTCATTCCTACACAATATGACTGTTTATCTCCATAGTCACAATCTAAAAAGAAATAGATGATATTGAATTAGTGTAGTTTAATACTAATTCTAACACAACCCGTATTTTCCCTATTGAACATAGAAGTGTGTGTTATTATGCTATAAAGTCACTGCTTGACGTTCTATATTTAGATTTATCACACAAACCGCGGCGCAGGGGTGTAATAAAGCCATTTAATAAAAACGATATTACACTAGACGATATTACACTAGTGTAATAACACTTTGACGTCACGTCATTTGCGCTATAAACATGGCGTTAAAGCGCGCTAATGTGAGCGTTACACTAAAGGCGCGTCAAAAAAAGACTCTTGATAACAGTTTACCGTTCTAATTTCATATAATAATAATATGTGATAAATAGAATATTATATTCGTGTAGATTCAATACTAAATTTATTGAACTCGTTGAATAAAACAATTTATTACATGCTTTTCGGTGGTTTAAAGAAAATATTTAAAATGCCATCAAGACAAATTTATCTCAACGCTTAAAATTATCTGTATGAGGTTACATATGCCTAACCGCCCTCTGTCAATGCCGCAACTGGAATCATCCATATGAAGCGCAAGGCATTTTTGTTACCTCATATATTTCGTAAATTGTTGTTGACGTAATAAAGTTTTTTCGTCAGGAACTTCAAGAGTTAAAAACATTGTGATGTTGACAACTAAAATTTATGGGCCGTTCTTGAATTATGGATTTGGAACATGCTAAATTATGATGTGTTTCATTTACATATTTCATTAGCTAACCCAGATAACTCCACAAATTGTTCAACAATTTTTTAATAATGAGACGGATTAACAGTTTAAAATTTTGAATCATCATAAGTGTAGGAGTTATGTCATTCAGGAGTTTTGAAGTAAAAGAATGGGATCTACGGAACTGGATAGAAACTGGCAATGAAGGAATCTTCAGAATGCAAATTTGTCGTGACGTTTATAAAGATCTATTTCGAAATTCATAGGGATTCTGTTCAGCTTAAAAATAAGTGCAATTTCTAGATCTACTCCATGTGACTCGATGTTCTATAAATCTTGTTGCTTATGTTTCAATTTAAAGTTTTCCATCATGCATTGCAACTAAACTGTTACATCTTGTAGATACAGCTTTGTGAAATAGTCAAGAAACGACCCCGAGAACCTCATGTATATTTTAGAACCATGACACGTGCTTTCTCCCGTTCATCTTCAAATGAAGAGTACTTCGGCAATGGCTACGGAAAATAAACAGCAGAGATTTACCATAGAGAAATCAAAATTTGATTTCACAAGAAAAGTTGACGTTTTAGAGAAAAACTCTGAAAAATCTCGAGGGTGACTTTTTTCTAGTTTACAAAAATAGTTTAATTTTTATTCAACCTCGTTTTGTTTATTCATACCAGGCAAAAGTTAAACAATTTAGAAAATACATATGCGTCATTATATTTTTAATTACTCGAAGCGATGCGTTGATGACATCAAACTGTAGTATTTTATTTTTTTGATAGGTTGTTCTGATTTATTATAACTTTTTGTCTTAGCAGATATCTGACTCAATCTTGCTTCGTTTGTTAGAAAAATAGTTTAATATTGATATATCAAATTTTTAAATTTTCTGCCGATGGGCCAAAATCGACCCAAAATGTACCTAGCCCTTTAAATAATGAAAATATTTATGAAAATAAAAAAATAAATAATGAAAATAATTATGAAAAAAAAAAAACAAAAAAAAAACAACATAAAGGTAATCAATAAATTCATGCCATCCATATTTTAAAACTATACAAAATTTGGCAAAAGGCACCATAATGATTATGCTCAAAATGAAAACACAAAAATCGTCCTTTGACAATGACTAGACCATCTGAGCATTAAAAAAAACAAACATGATACCCTTAGCAACAAGAGCTGTCACAGGAGACAGCGAAGCTCCACTAACAAAATACTGGACCCAGTAAGAAAGACAAAATTATGAAAGAAAACTCAATTATGTATGATTAAGTATTAAATTAGATCTATAGTAAAAACATAACATTTGTTAACATAAATTCAAAGTTCAAGGGAGTTAAATTTGAAAATAGTCTAAAGTTATGAACCTTGTCACATAAGTTGTGGTTGATAATAATGTACATGCATTTGGAGTATGAAGTTGATCCCTTAAGAAATAAAGAAGTAACAGTAAAAAGTAGTATTTTTTTAAGGAAAATCCTAAGTTAAAGGGGTAATAAATCTGAAACTATTATAGCTACAGTTATGAACCTTGTCACATAAGATTTGGTTGATGATAAGAAACATATATGATTTGAAGTTTGAAGTTGATACCTTAAGAAATGAAAATGAAAAAGTGAAAAATATTTTACTTCACCAAAACTGCGGCCGCGATTAGGACAGCTCTCCATATTCTTCGTATAGTCGAGCTAAAAATGCGTTATATAGAGGATATTTGTTTAGTTCAGTGTAAGATCGGAACATATTTCACCGAGTGGGCACCAAAAGGTATATTTCACGAGTGGCGCAGCCACGAGTGAAATATGAACTTTTGGTGTTCACAAGGTGAAATATATTTCGATCTTACACTAAACTAAACAAATTTTCTTTTTATTATATGCAAAGAAACGTTTTAAAAAGACATTAAACCTAATACTAAATAAAAAGCGCGCCAAATAATTATACAACGTGACGTCATTTACGACGTCACGTCATTAAGTTGGTACCCAGTATTGTGCACGCTGGTATTTCATTGAAACAACGTAAGGGGCTTAAATTCAAAACAGTGAAATTATCAAAGTGGTAATTTCACTGTTTCAAACAGTGAAATTACCAGTTTTATATCACTGATATATTTCTATAAACCACCGAAAAGCATGTAATAAATATTGTGTAAATCATAGCAAAAACATACCTACATACGCCCTGTTATTTTTCTTTATAGCTTCACAAGTAGCACAGCAGTCTGTTCTGATTTGTTCATGGTAACAATAGTAAGTTGTTGCAGGAGATCCAAGAAGATCGGAACAACCAGATTTTTTTTTCGGAACAATGTATGGGGTATCTCCAAATGGACACGTTTCTGCTCAACAAATATTTTAACTTAATAGTTTGAGAAATACATGTACGTTTGTCAACAATATGGTACCTACTTTACTGTAAATGACATTGTATAAATATTAGAACAAAAATCATCAAGGTAAAGCGACGTTCACAAAAATCAGCCGTTGACACAAAGCAGCCACTACGGCTGGTTACAGTTAGCACCGAAACAATGCGAAGAAAATAGTTCCCTTATAAAACTCTCATTGCCATCTTATTTTCAGGAAGCTTTTGGCGGAAATTTAGGATTTTTATTTAAATATTATTATCTTGGGATGTAGGTTTCATTACACTATGCAAAAAAAAAACCAACTGGATTATCTAATTTCTTTTTGTAGTGGCAGAATGTATTCGCGACTAAGTTACAAGCTTCAATTACTTACTTTCTTGGTAACAAGAGCCGGTTGAACCGGGTGATGCTCCCCGAATAGATTTTGGCCACAGGAAGGTATACCTCTTGTTGTGTCAGAGTTATGTCACAGACAAAGTTCAAAGTGTAAAAACAACCCAAATATTGTGCACGACACATTGTCTCAATATGGTGATCATTTTTGTGAAATAGTTGTAAAATCCGACTTCAAATAACGAAGTTATGCGCCTGACATTATTTTGCTGCAAGGTCATGCTGTGACCTTGACCTTCAAGGTAGTGACCCAAATGTTGCATGTGACACGTCGATTCAATATGGTGATCATCTCTGTGAAATAGTTGTTAAATCCGACTTCCAGTAACAAAGTTATGGGCCGGACACGATTTTGCTGCAAGGTCATACCGTGACCTTGACCTTCAAGGTAGAGACCCAAATGTTGCGCGCGACACAATGTCTCATTGTGGTGATCATTTCTGTGAAATAGTTGTAAAATCCGACTTCAAATAATGAAGTTATGTGCCGGACACAATTTTGCTGCAAGGTCATGTTGTGACCTTGACCTTCAAGGTAGCGACTTTAATGTTGTGCATGACACGTCATCTTAATATGATGATCATTTCTGTGAAATACTTTTTAAATCCAACTTCAAATAGCAAAGTTATGGGCCGGACACGATTTTGCTGCAAGGTCATGCTGTGACCTTGACCTTCAAGGAAGCGACCCACATGTTGCGCGCGACACATCGTCTCAATATGGTGATCATTTCTGTGGAATATTTTTTAAATCCGACTTCAAATAACAAAGTTATGGACCGGACACGATTTTGCTGCAAGGTCATGCTGTGACCTTGACCTTCAAGGTAGTGACCCAAATGTTGCGCGCGACACGTCGTCTCAATATGGTGATCATTTCTGTGAAATATTTTTTAAAATACGACTTCAAATAATGAAGTTATGGACCGGACACGATTTTGCTGCAAGGTCATGCTGTGATCTTGACCTTCAAGGTAGCGACCCAAATGTTGCGCGCGACACGTCATCTCAATATGGTGATCATTTCTGTGAAATAATTTTAAAATCCGACTCCAAATAACAAAGTTATGGGCCGGACATGAATTCGGGACGTACGTACGGACGGACTGACGGACGGACGGACAACCCGACGACTATATGCTCCCCCGAAATTTTTCGGGGAGCATAATAACGCACAGTGCGATATCTCAGATTTATAGCATAAAATCGTTTACTTTTCCCTCTTTTGCCCATGTAATAACGGGACAAAAACCATGTGTTAACATTGTCACGCGCTCTTCTTATAGCCCGGTTTTACGTATGCGCAATACTAACAGGGCACAGTAAACAAACTTGACGATCTGGTCTGTTATTGATTCGAGAGTCTCAATCACAAAACGGCGAGCAGCACACAAGTAACTATGCCGGAAATACGGCGTATAGACATCGCCGCTAATCTTGGTTGTCGCCCTTTCTAAGAAATGGACAGTTGTCAATGTAAATAAATATCTGTCATTCTAAATAACTCTCTGATTAACTAACAAAACAAGATAACATAAATGAATATGAGAAAATGTTGTTTTATTAATGTTTATGTTGATTAATTTTCTTTATATTTATTTGAGATAATAATGTTTAGTGCCTGATTTTTTTATAAACTTGTGTGCTTGAAAAAAAACCCCAAACGATTCTTATGTCAGTAATCTTTTTTACCGTCAATCTTAAATCAAATCATTCTAGGATTTTCTGAGGGTCATGTTTTATCTTTGGAAGAGTAATTTACTTTTTTTCTTGAGTTGAAAAAAATAAATAAATATCCAATGTTAAGCTAAATCAATTGAAATTCGAAATTTCGTTCGGTTCTGAGCATTTGTATTTCCCAAGTTGTTGGCCACGGAAAAATAAACGCATACATAAAACATTTAGAATTGGTTTAATACCGTCCGAACACAAGGATTTATTATGTGTTTTGTATTAAATATGTTTTAAAATTGTATCCTATAATAGCGTCAACGCACGTTTATTTCGTGTTATAAAGTCTGCAGAATCCCTCGGAACTGTTTGAGCCCTCGCCCTACCGGGCTCGTGCACCAATCGTTCCTCGGAACTCTGCAGACGTTATAACACGGAAAAACGTGCATTTACCCTATAAAAGCATACTTCTTTAGAAGAAAGTGTGCGTTATTTCAAAAGCACAGTTATCTAAGTACAGCTGGAGTTAGTTCATGTATAAGCCTTACCGAAGACAAATAATAAGGGTCACTGGACGGTACCAATATTTGGCCTGGAAAAACAACGGATATATTCAGATTGGGGAAAAATAATGGGGTTCTGTGGATATGGCTGGCAGTCTGAAAAATTTTTGTCTTGAGCTTGAACGTACTTGTTTATAAATCCTTTTTCAGGAATTTAATTTGGTGCAAGGAGGCACTGCCTGTATAAACATTTTACAGAAATACTTTCAATGTCAAGTCCCTGAAAAAAAAACAATAATCGTTTTCATCGAAATAGATTTTAAACCCATCTTTAGTTATGCCATTAAAATGATGATCAAACCGCGATTAGCGTAATACTGGCAAGTCTCAATTATTTACAGAAATGTTTTTTTTTGTCTGTGGTCATTTAATCGATCAGGAACACCCACTTTACTTTAGATTGGCTCTTACGTTATGGGGTTTACAGTCTTAAAACCCCTGTCAGACTAGGGCGTCGTTCTCACGGCGTCCAAAATAATTCAGAACGCCGAGGTGAGCGCAGTAAAATCGCAAACATCGCCGCAGCATCGTAGTGGCATCGCATAGAACGCCAACCGACGGCGCACATTTTGAACATGCTCAAACCATACGCGTCACTTGGCCTTCTAATATTAGCGCAGTTGGATCGCAGTAAGGACGCCGTAGCAACTCAGTAGCATCTCTTGCGCCATGAAAGCGTAATAGGCACGCCGAATGAACGTGGTGGTTATCCATGGCGCTTGTACGGAGATTGTTCGGCGTCTCTACTGCGCTTATACTGTGTGTGCACGGCGCCTTTACGGAGCTTTTTTATTATTTGAGCGCAGTGTGAGCGCCGCGTAAGCGCCGTAAAAGCGCAGTAGAAGTGATCCCCTGAGTAAAAAAACAAAAACAATTATAGAAGAAGAAATAGTCACACCATCCGATCTTATTTCCGTAACTTACGGCAAATTTATATTTGACCAGGTTTTGAGTAATATAGGCGGCCGCCATTTATAAAAAGTTGTGTATTTCACGGGAGGTAAATAATTGTGTTTGATTCAGAGAAATATTAGGATTTGTTAATCATACATCAATTTATAAGAAAGGAAACTTATTTGAGGATTGTTACAGACAGTAAATAATTATTGACAGACGTGTTAACATTAAAAAAGCGGCTAGTAATTAGGAAAACATGGAATTGTTGAAAGGCTGTCTTACGAACGCTGGGTTGTTTACTTTTTCTTCGGGCTGATGATTGTCATCGCTTTTCAAGTTTTCATATTGCATTAGGTAGTTATTTACTTAAATATGCCCAAATGTCATCAAGAGCAGTTTTGCATATGAAAGGAAGTGTATTTTTCAGAGAGTAAAAATGAAACCAAAATGTAGACACGCTATTTGGTCATTGGTAATTTGAATGAATTGAAGTTGGATCTTTCTTTTTATTACTTCCAGCTTTGCTTTCTCTAAACAGCCCTGACATTTCAGAATTGTAAGCAAAAATAAAATTGAGGTACCACATGGGGAACATCTTAAACAAGAGCTGTCACAGGAGACAGCGAAGCTCGACTAACAAGAGCCGGTTGAACCGGGTGATGCTCCCCGAATAGGTTTTGGACACAGGAAGGTATACCTATTGTTGTGTCAGAGTTATGTCACAGACAAAGTTCAAAGTGTAAAAACAACCCAAATATTGTGCACGACACATTGTCTCAATATGGTGATCATTTTTGTGAAATAGTTGTAAAATCCGACTTCAAATAACAAAGTTATGCGCCGGACACGATTTTGCTTCAAGGAAGCGACCCAAATGTTGCATGCGACACGTCGATTCAATATGGTGATCATCTCTGTGAAATAGTTGTTAAATCCGACTTCCAGTAACGAAGTTATGGGACGGACACGATTTTGCTGAAAGGTCATGCCGTGACCTTGACCTTCAAGGTAGCGACCCAAATGTTGCGTGCGACACAATGTCTCATTGTGGTAATCATTTCTGTGAAATAGTTGTAAAATCCGACTTCAAATAATGAAGTTATGTGCCGGACACAATTTTGCTGCAAGGTCATGCTGTGACCTTGACCTTCAAGGTAGCGACCCAAATGTTGCGCGCGACACGTCGTCTCAATATGGTGATCATTTCTGTGAAATATTTCTAAAATCCGACTTCAGATAATGAAGTTATGGACCGGACACGATTTGGCTGCAAGGTCATGCTGTGACCTTGACCTTCAAGGTAGCAACCCTAATGTTGCGCGCGACACATCATCTCAATATGGTGATCATTTCTGCGAAATATTTTTAAAATCCGAATTAAAATAACAAAGTTATGGACCGGACACGATTTAGCTGCAAGGTCATTCTGTGACCTTGACCTTCAAGG